TGTTCTGTTTCGGGAGAAGTGTAGTAGCCCGGATTCCATCGGAATCCACGAGATTCCACCCGATTCCATTGGATTCCATTGGATTCCTTTGGATTCTTTTGGATTCCTTTGGATTCTTTTGGATTCCAGGATTCCATTGGATTCTGTGAGATTCTATGAGATTCCGTTGGATTCCATTGGATTCCGTGGGATTCCAGGATTCCGTGCTTTCCCCCTTGCATAAATGTGATACGAAAGCTTTTAAACACTATTTTTAAAGTTTTTCGTATGCGCTCTTTCCAATGGTGTGGTTCACACGTCAAAAATGTTTTTATCAGGGTTTTCTAAAGATCTAGTTTCTGGAAAACCCGACTGAACTGTTTTTGAACTTTGTGAATCACACCATTGGAAAGAGTACATACGAAAACCTATAAAAATAGTATTTAAAGGTTTTCTACAAATGATCTGTTTGCTCAACAACCTTAAGTGCTGGAACAAAAATTCTGCTATTAAATCGGCCGTTAGTTAAAGTATATTTGACACTATTAAAATCCCGAAAAAGCTCACTTACGTTCGTTCACGTAATGTCCACGTTGTTGCCCACTGTGCATGTTTAATCGATTGTTTGATCATTTTTCGTTTTAGAGATCTTAAACTTAGTTTTTTCTATTAGTCACGTAAAGAATCAGAATAAAATAGTTTTAAAATTTAAAAAGAAGGATAAATATACAAATCTGGTTTGTTTTTGAAAGTTTCCCTGAATTTGACCAATTTGATACTTTTCGTATTTCGAAATTTTTTCCCACTAAAATTGTGTTCAGAAATTGAAATGTGCTGTTTTCGTATGTAACTCGGTAAGCTCTGTTTGACCATGTATAAATAAAACAGAAAAACAATTGTGCTCGAATTTTGAATTATGAGCATCCTATATGGTTCTTGGCACAAACTACAACTGTCTTTTCGTTCATATCTCGATCGATTCTCATTCATTCGAACTGTCCTGTTTGAGTTAATCTACTGCCGACAAACATATCAGTCTTTGTTTGCTTCCAAAATAATGACATGATATCAGATGTTTTTGCTTCACCTTACGATAAACATTTGTATTTATTTACCTCGACGCTCGATTCTCCAATAACCACTTTCTATCATCATAATGCACACAAGAAATTTTGCATTTAAAACACGTGTACGTGTGCAATTATTACGTAATTTTTATGGAAACAACTATCGACTAACCCTTAGAATCCTTTTCAGGATTTTAAAGGTAGTTTGAGATGTTGTCTCCAATATATACAATTAAGATTTCAATTATTCATCGTCCAATACTTGAAGAAATTCGCTCACTAAAAAACCGAAAAATTCGTTACGAACGAGCTTTTGGATCTTCCTTCATACCACGAGAGTTATTGGAGACAATCTAAGAGAACACTCTAAAATAGTAAGGCGGCCGTAATTCAAAACTTCCGCACTATTTTCTTTCTCGACATGGTTAGACAGAACCTGTCGAACTGATTCTAAACATATATATTTCAGCCTTTAGAATTACTTCTGGAAAGAAAAATTTGCAGAAAAACTGCAAATTTGTCTAAGGTGTAAAAACCGGTATTTTTACGATAGAATTAATTTTCTGAACTCCCATTATGTTTTGTAACTTTGTAATATTTCCCATTTATTCAGCATGAAAAACTGAATAAGAAAACGTTATTTTGATGTTGCTCGCATATAGACATGTGCAGGACGCCCCTACCCTGTAGAGCTTCAAAGTCATAGGGTAGGGTAAGGCCAGGGCTTCGAAGTCACAGGATAGGGTAGGACCAGAGCTTCGTCTAAAAAAGATCGTCGGTACAACATTGAGATCGGTCGCTAGCGACAGTTATTTTAAACTTTTTATTTTATCGGATGCAAGACACCCATTTTTGGTGCAATTGGCAATATAAAAAAACAGCAACAAAGGCTGGACGAAGAAACGGTCGATGACATTATGTTGCTACGAATTTTTAAAAAAGAATTTTTATCAATATGATTCATTTATTTAAAAAAATAAAGAAATAATTGTAAATGAAAAATTTTCAAATTTTCAAAGAGTAGGGTGAGACCAGGGCTGCATTGCTACAGGGTAGGGCAAGGGCTCCGTAAACAGTTACCTTGCACATCTCTACTTGCATATAGTATAGGCTTAAAAATATCAGTTTTTGGGCCACAGCCAAATTTGCAGTTTTTGCAAATTTTCTTTCGATTTTATATGAACTATTAAGAAGTTTGAAAGAAAAGTCGGGATCGCGAAGTCATTTTTTATTGAACAGAAAAACCCCGTTCGTTGATATTTCAAATATTGTACAGAAACCGTTTCCCTTTAAATGAGTATGCTGTGTGCGTGAATCATTTTCTATTCTCTCCTCTAATTTTATTTTCGACTTAAACTTTTTTTCTATGAATGAAGAAAGATACATTATCTCTTGCTAATAAACAACAACAACAACTACAACAACTTTCTCCAGATACATGCTGCCACACTCTGCTTTTTATTTCCGTAAAAATTTTCAACAGAAGGACTCAATTTTGTCTTATAGCAAAATTTCTTCTCAGACATACTTTTTCATGCGATTGGATTATGTAAAAACAAATATCTCAGATTTCGTTTCTTTTATTTCCTTTCGGTAGTTACGTTAGTCAAGTTGCATTTTGTTCATCATTACTCTCCCTTGTTTTCTCGTGAAAAAACAATTGAAATGTTCCACTTTGCGTTTGCGCATGTTTTTTACATGGAAACTGTATATAAAGCACCAGGTTCCTAATTTATAGTATAAAAAACTCCCGGTGGTGTTTTTGTCAAAAGTTAAATTAATACTACCAAAATTCACATCATATACTGACAACATCGTTTCTTGAAAACAACTTTTATCTTGGTAATGAACATTGTTTGAAAGATTTCTAAGAACACAGCACTATGGCGTCAAAGAGCACGCTTTTGGATTTAAACCGTTATTTTTACTGAACTAAATTTTTTTAGAAATGTTTCTCAGTATTTGCCAGTAAAATACTTTTTTAGTGAAATAGAGAGAAAACAAATTCAAAAAATCCGATGTTTTTTACACCATTGGTTTCAATCTGAGCTTTCAGCTTTTATATTTAACAGAAATTTCCCAAACCTTTAATGTCTCATTTTTTTCCCTTGTATATGTGACATTGATAACGGTAATAGATGGAACCTTAAAAAAGTTTTAAAGTCACTACACTTTTGACAGAGTCAATATTTTCTAAGAGTTCCATTCAGATCGACATTGTAGTTATGGACAGGTTTTGATAGCAGTAAGACTTAATGCCTAATACTTAAAACGAATTTATAATAAAATAATTCGAATTTCAAAAACATCAGACAAATTTTACACGTTATAAAAAGCATGTTGTTATTGTTCCCACTATGAGTCCTATGCACGAAATTCGTATTCGTTCCCAGTAGACGCTATATGCATTCTCATGATTACTTATTATTGATACAGTATCATCATATACGGCATCATATACGTGTTCTTCCGTACTCTCTCCTTGAACTATAAAGTTTTCATAACACGCTATCAGAATACACAGGACACACATGATAATTAATAAGCAATCGATAAGGAGACGGGCTCGCATACCAAATAGAAAGCCCAGTAAGTATGTCGAGAATAATAGAACATACTCTAAAAACAGAATAAGAAAAGATTTCCAGTATGTAAGAACTACGTTGGGTGTCATGCACACCTAAAGGAATATTACTAGCGAATGAACCATTTTACTTTAAATATGATGTAACTAATCTAGTTGCTATGTATATCTTTGCTAACAATAGCACAAGACGAATTAAGAAGTCGTTTATGATCATTTTTGCTAAACTTACCAAAACGACGCATTAATATACTATAACAATAGAATAGTCCACAATAAATTTTATGTATACACCGTCCAAAATGGATATGTATACATGTCCGTAAAGTGCCAGTAGTGTGATGATCCTCATAGAAATGTTCGACTATATTATAGGACGAAGAGATTGGCCGTGTTGTTATTGATGTGACAGCGAACCACTTTCCTTCTCTGTGATCAATCTGTAAATTACTTTGTTCTGGTAATATTAACATTTTCATAAATGACGGATTTTCAGGATTGAACACGAGAAGATTTGCATCACATAAATATTTACACTCGTTCGTTGCGGTAACCAAAGACAACGATATCATATCGTCTTTCTCACTGAAGGGTTCAAATAACCGTGTACAAGATGTGTACTTCTCAGTTAAAGATAAATCGAATTCTAGAACACATTAGACAAAGAGGAAAGTTGAATGAATACCAATGTCAAATTCTGTTTATATCTGTACCAAACGATTGTCTCTCTCTATTTCTAATATTTGACGGGGTTTGAAGCATATCAACTATTGTTAGTAAAGCTAAATTATTTTCTCGTAAATGTGCCTGTAATAATAACAATTCACCAACTGTCTTATGGATAACAGGTTGTTCATTTATGTCGATTTCTTGTTCTTTAGTCAGCGTCAAATCGAATGATTTAGGTTTCCAACCAATTTCATCTTGAATTGTGTTCTCATTGTAGCCACAATCATTTACTATTTGATCACTATTTCCATCTTGATTTAGTTTTGATTTCGTACGATATGTTATGAACTTACTACCGTTAGTATCAGTATCAGCCACTACTTGATCGAATGTAGTCATATTTGTGAAAGATTCTTTTCGTGTTAATTCATATTTAAATTCTTTGTTCAATTCGTGCTCATAATCACTATGATCATTAAAATCAATTATTGATGGTAGAACAAAATAGTCGTCATAAATAGTGACTGGAATAAAAATATGAGTTATTAAAATAGAATCACTAAAAATTAAAAATATAATTACTTTTTCTAGTTTTTAGATGATGTTTCGTAATAAAACTATACGTTTTTTTTAATTTAGATTTTAAATCATCTTGTTTTTCATCGATATAATGTGAGTAATGTAAATTTATTGATGTCACTGCATCATCAACGCATTTTTCAATGTTGTCTTGGATATTTTTTGATGATGTTGAAGATGAATGTTGTTCTGGTGTTGTGTTTGGTTCCACGAGACCATCATCAGTATATTTAATAATATCTTCGAAATGAGATTTTAATGAACAAACAGATTTACAACAAAGATTTTCTGAATAAGCATCAGATGTATCGTAAAATGGAAATACATGTGCACATGTTGTTGTTTGAAGAGTATGAATCTCATTATTGAATACACTAATCTAAAATCCATACGAGATTATTAGCAATATTGTTTAACCGTTTGAGTACGGGGTTATTTTTTCAAAAAATAATCCCGCAAAAGTAGCGACACCCCTGTAACTCGAGAAGCATGATAGCTAGGGACTTCTAATTTTGTGTGGTCATTGCACTTACCGAATGCTGATCATCCACCAAGTCTGGGCCCCTTTTACTGGATAATTCGTGAAATATAAACGATTTATTTCTTTAAAATATCATTGATGTTTTACGGAAAAGAAATAAATCGGTTATTAAAAATTTAATATATTAAAAGTTTTCATTTCTCCAGGTCAAGAGTTATAGCTCCTGACCTGAGAGCGATGAAAACGTTTTCTTATTACAAAAAAGTAGCCGCGGCTCCACTCTATCGACGTTATGAATGTCGTGAGTTGGCTGTTAATAGTCAGGTAAATACAGCTATTTTAGAGCGAGATTCGTTTTCGTTGTTGAAAATTCGAGATTCTTTGCGAAAAAAATTCACAATTCCGTCTAAGAGCATCGTTTTGACTTCAACTTTGCACCAAAGACTCTACAGTGTCTTTAGACTATCTAGCCGAAGTATGAAGGTTAACTATTGTGTAGTACAGGAAATTCATCGAGGACGAGCAATATACGTAAAAGAGCGAGGGTGATGACCTAAGGGTCGCTCTTTCTACTATAGAATTTGCATTCAATGTACATCGAAATCATGAAAATCTATGGTTTCGAGAAACTTAGGTGAAACTTTTGTTAGAACGATTATACACTCACCTCTAACCTTCACTTTTTCGCTTATTTTGCGCCTTTTTCACTCCCCATATATTTTCAAGCAAAACTAATAACATATTTGGGATCAGTAGACAAAACTGGATCATTCATTCATTGAATAATTTAATATGTAATATTTACTAAAGCTATTCAGAGGGCAAAATCTCAGGATGCGAATTCGCGTCGCCCGTATTCAAAGGGTTAAAAACTCTCTAACATATCAGTCAGTCTTATCATTACCGTGTTATAGTTATTTTTTGATGATCGATTATCGTCACTATCATTTTCTTTCTGTTTTTGTTGATAATGATTTTTTTCAAATTTTTCCACAAGATCTTTGACATTTCCTCTCAAATCGTCATCATTGAATAAAGTTGATCTAACATCATTAGTAACATTATCCTTGCTTAATAGTCTGGTGGTCGTGGTATCAATTTCATAAGTGTCTATAGTAGAGAAATTTGATGTATCAATTCATGAATACAAATTGAATTAAGTACATATATGATTTTTTGGTACTACATCTTGCATCCTGAGTTTTTTCTATAAAAAACAACCTCATCAATTTCGCAATCTTTGGCTGATTTTCGAACTATGTGATGATATTGATTGTCGACAGTGACGATAGACTTTCATCTACACAGCTCTTGCCAAATGCTATTTTTTTTCAAGAGTTTGAAATATTTCTTTCAGGTCTATTGGATCATCGGAAAGAATGAAGAATTTACGATGCGAGTGCAGTTCAAAACTTCTTTTATATGAACAACAACAAACAAGAGTTGAGCCTTATACCATGTTTTATATTTGTTATTATGGAGTTATACTCATAATTCAAATTTTCCAATGACCTATTTTTCCTGGGTTCAATCAAATATTGATCACCAACTGAATAATGTTGTTCGTCATTACATGTTTCATACGAAAATAGTTTATTATCAAGTACATATTCATGATTAATACATGTTTTTTTTGTATCGATATTCGCCATATATTTTAAATTACATATTGAACGTAATGAACACACAAACATTCGCTCCACTTTTTTAAATTTCTCATTTTGTAACCAAATTAAAATAAATAAAACTAAAAAAGTCTATTAGAAACAAAGAATAAAAAGTCATATTTTTTCTATGAAAACCGATAATTATATTACAGCAACGAATTTGATGATGCAAGTCTAAAAAACTCGAAAAACGAAAAATACGGTTTCTAATGTAGTTTAGACATGAGAATTTTGAAGGAAAATGTTGTTCTTAGTTACACAAACGATTGACAAAAATTCTCATGCATAAGAAATAGTGTGATGGCAGAGTTTTATTATTGTTTTCTCCTAGACTTTCCACTTTTCTGAAGACCACAAGTAGCTATATTTAGTTACAATGCCATGAACTATTTATAGTTTATTTAAACTCGAAAGTGAGTTAGCTAAGATGTTGTTTCTTGGTTTGACGATTATTTATACGAGTGCAATATTCTACAGATGTCCCCACAGTTCGATTAAATCTATAATCAGAAATGGAACTATAAGTTGTATTTTATTAAACCACTCTACTAGTTAATTTACGAATTAATATCGTCCATTTCAATGTCGATTTGTTCACCAAATCTGTACTATGAATGAGGGTGTTGTACGAGTTATAAATACGATTATGGCTTTTATATTCATTTCTATATAACTGTTTATTGTCAAGGTATTGTTTGATATGTAAATTGTAGATAGTGGTTAAGTGAACGTTTGAATAGCAGAAACTAACTTATGCTGTGTTTATATTTATTATTCGTTAGATGTATCAGACGATAGAAACGACAATTGTTATAAAGTGTTAGTCTAGCTCACACAGTCTTCACTGATGTAATTGTTGATAAAACCAGACACAAATCCGGCTGCTGCCTTCTTAAATTGTGAGAATTTTTATGATATATGGAACACGCATAGTGAAGGAGTTTCTGAGCAAAACATTCTATAGCTCGTCTTGAATTGATAAAACTGTGGTATTAGTTGCATTGAATTTGTCGTAGTCTGCTAGCATTTATTTCGATGATGATTATTAGAATAATCTATTATGAGAAGGAAATTTCACTATGTGCTGTCTAAGATACTTATTATTGTTATTTACTAAGTCTGTTTCATGCATCTTTTTTCTAGCTGATCTAAAATGAGCTATAATGTTTTTTTATCTATTTCAGACTATTGCAGAAATGGCCACAACAATCGTCAAGCCTCCAGATTCAACTTATACATTTTCCAGCCAACCAAAAGCTGTACAACAAAGAAAAAAATATCGAGAGCAGACAACATATCCATCGTAAGACTAGTAATTTTACACGATACATAGGAATCGACAGCAAGCCTGTTCGTCCCTTGAATATTTATTACTCTCGGATTTGGTCATTTTTCGTTGTGTTGTAGGGATGAGCTAGGAAACTATGGAAATATTATGTATGATCGTCGCATTATTCGTGGTAATACATATGCATTGCACACATTACCAGCCGTGAGTAATTATTGATGAAATTGAAAATAGTCTTATATATATATGATATTCTTGTTATTTTAGCATGCTCAACCTGATCCGATTGAACTACAACGTCAGCAAGAAGCTAAAAGACGTGCCTTAGCTCGTAGGAAAGCTCGTGAACAATTACGAACGAGAACTCCTGAACCTGTGCACGGAAGAAAACACATTGATGTACAAACAGAACTATATTTAGAAGAACTAAGGTATATGATCATTGGTTCAAACATATCAGAGTATAAATACATGTTATTTATTTTAAGTGATCGTATTGAAGAAGCGGATGTTGAAATTCAGACAGACGCATTTCTCGATCGTCCACCATCACCACTATTTATTCCTCAAAAAACAGGAAAAGATATCACAACACAAATTGAAACTGGAGATGTAATTAATAAAGTTTTTCTTTCATATCTAACTATTCTACAAGTATGTTTTTTGTTTAGCTATTTGATTTTGATTTGGAAGTTAAACCAATTATTGAAACTCTAACTGGTAAAACATTGGAACAAGCTCTCATCGAAGTAGCTGAAGAAGAAGAATTAGCTGAAATTCGTGAACAACAACGTGAATATGAAGAAATGCGTAATGCTGAGATAATAGAATTACAACGTCTTGAAGAACAAGAACGACGATTGAGAGCCGAAAAAGAACGTCGTATGAAACAAGCACAAGAATCTCTGCAATTGGAACAAGAAATACAACAGAAAATAGCAGCACGAGCATTTGCCAAATCTTATTTACAAGATCTTGTACCAAGTGTATTTAATAATCTAAGAGAGAATGGATACTTTTATGATCCAATTGAACATGGTAAATATATCTAATTCTCACTCATGATCTAGTACAGTTCCAAAAAGATTGTATATTTATTATTATTTTCTCTAGAAATTGAATTATCATTTATGCCATGGTTAATGGATCGTACCATGAGACAAGTGAATCAACTCGTCCTTGGACGTACACTATTAGACTCACTTATTCGAGATGTTGTATCAAAACGAACTGATGATTATGAAAAATTAGAGGATACTTTAAGAAAAGTATGTACAAAAATAAAGGCTCACTGAGTTGATCGTTAATATCATTTGTGTTTTGTAGATAATACAGGGTGGTGTGGATATGGGAACATCGACAGGAGATCAACTTCAATCAACAAATGAATATGAACAACAGCCACAACAAGAACAAGAACAACAACAAAATGAATCAGATATCAATGCAAATGCAGCACAAAATGGTATGTTTAACAGAAATAAGCGTGGTTTAGTAGCACGGCTTCCTTACAATACTAAATTTTATCCTCACATTTCTCTCTCGTTCTTCCTTCATATAAGAGAGATAAAAAAAAGATATTCTCAGACTAAAGGTCGTCAAAGTAGACCTAATTGTTGTTTTGATTACATGAAAAACATTTTGTTTTCTTATTTAGAAGAAATCGAAGAACGAGATGAAGAACAAATTCCAGAAGAAGAAGGAGAACAATGATTTTCTTTTTTTTCCCATGTTAGAAAAACTACTTTTCTATTAAATAATAAAAAGTTTAGTGAAACAAGTTTATTTTTTTTGTTATTTTTAAATTTTTTTTTCTCTTTTAAACAAATATATGTTTAGTCCAAAATTTTTTCATTTTTTTTTATTGTAGTCCACACGTTAAAAATAAGTACTTTTCTTCGTATATAAAGAAATACTTTTTACTTTAAAATCAAGAGTTGTGTATTGTAAAACAAGCGTTCTGGGGTTATATACAAAGTCAATCATTCAATTGTATCAGACAAAAAAGCTAACGAGAAAACCTATCCAACTGTTACCTCGCTTTTTCAGCCAAACCCAGTGGTTATAGGTAATCGACCACGTTGATCCCGAATATAAACATCAAAGCTTCCACTAGGCCTTCAAAGATCCGGTTTTCTGGAAAACTAGTTTTTCAGAACTCTAAAAAAGAACCAAAACCTTTCTTAACGAGGCATAATTGCAGCGCGCACATTTCAGATTAAAATGAGACCTCTCTCAGCTCTACATGACCTTTCTTTGCAAAGTTAAAGAATTTACAAGAGAAGCCCTAAATTAGTTTTCTTATTTCTGTAGCTTTGAGCTGACAATTAACATTTAGGGCTTCTCTTGTAAATTCTTTAACTTTGTAAAGACAGGTCATGTAGAGCTGGGAGAAGTCTCATTTTAATCAGAAATGTGCGCACTGCAATTATGCCTCGTTAAGAAAGGTTTTGGTTCTTTTTTAGAGTTCTGAAAAACTGGTTTTCCAGAAAAACAGATCTTTGAAGGCCTGATGGAAGCTCTCATGTTCATATTCGGGATCAACGTGGCCAATTACCTATAACCACTGAGTTTGGTTGAAAAAGCGAGGTAACAGTTGGATATGTTTCCTCGTAAGTTATAGAACAAATCGACAAAAATTCCATCAAAATTTAGTGCAAGAACTAAACAAGGATAATATTTAACATTCATCACAGACGATGAACTTGTGTATTTTTTATATTAAATATTTTAAAAATACTTGAAAAAACAGCAAAAATAGGATAAGGATGAAGACTGAGAAGATATTTCATTACAAGATAAGACAAAATTTTTGATTTTGTTAAATAACTGAGATGTTTGGATGATTATAACTGTCACAAATTTTTTCGTCTAGTTAACTAATTTATCTCAAAAATATCCTCTTATAATACGTAGCGCTGTAAAATATATAATGTGAACTGATTTTTGTTGTGTTCTTCTTTAAATTCAACAAGATGAAATAGGAGGAATTGTCTGCTTGACTACCTTTTTTCAAAGAGTGAATAAAATGTAAACTCTTCTCTATTTTCTTTCTTTTCAAAAACACTTGAAAACAAAAAAAAAAAAAAAGAAGAAAGTAAACTCGATTGATTAAAAATATCACCTTTCCATTTTGATTGCATTTATTAAGAAAAATAGAGACGAGAATAGTATGAAAAATATATAATGGTGGATAAATTATCACAAGAACGTCTGTTTCCACGTGGATACTCAGCTGTTGAAATTCGACAAGTTCGAACAATTGCTGATAAATCATTACCATATTCGATACCAAATACAAAAAGTAAGATGAAATATTTTAATTTCAACATGAAAGAAATTTAAATCTTTCTCTGTTTTTCCTAAAGGACACAGTTGTCGATCTCGAACATTTAAACAAGATGATACAAATATAATTGAAAATAACAAAGCTGTTCTTCGAACTAAATTAGATTCATTGATTAATTTTTGTAGTGAAATTTTTGTAGATAGTGATGAAAAGTAAAGACATCATTATCTTCTTCTAAGTATAAAATTTTTTCACTTTTTCTTCTTTCTATTTTTTTTTTTAGAAACGATAAACTACTGTCAACTAATTATATCTCATTACATGGTCAACAATTAAAATGGCCTCGATCCATTTGTACTCTAGCCGATGGTGATCTAATAGTATGTGAGCAAGAACAATGTCGTATACTACTATTTAGTAAACATTTATTACTTCTATCTCATTTTGGATCTCATGGACGAGGTCTTTATGAATTTGATCATCCATGGGGCGTTGCATCACTATCCAATAGTGATATACTAATTGCAGATACAAATAATAAACGTTTACAATGTTTTTATTTAGGTTTTAATTCACGTTTCATTCATAAATATACACTTTTATTCGATGAAAAACCTTATTTTGTTTCTACTGATATTAAAAATCGATTTGTTGTCTCATGTGATAATGGTCTACTACAATGTTTTACAAAAAAACGATCACTCATATCGAAAATAGATCTATTAAAATGTTTTCAGATGAAATCAGTCACACAACCGTTTTCAGTCTGTATGGATAATAGTGTTGGATTATTTGTCGGATGTAATCAAACAAAGTGTATCTATCATATGACATTTCAATGTGGAATATTACAAAAATTTATTATTAGTGATATTACTGGAAGTAATTTTATTGGTGTCTCACAATTTATTTATAATCGAAATCAACTTATTTTATTAGATACATTAAATTCTCTTATTTATACCTTAACAGTTAATCCGGCTGCTGCAGAATATGATAGTATTGGCGTTGAAGAACCATTAAGTAATAAAATTATTTTAAAAAAATCGGATAATCTCAATTTTCCACAATCCATATGTTTAAGCCCCGAAGGACATTTGATTGTAACTGAATGTAGTATAAATACAAGACATTCGATAAAAATATATCGATTTTATGATTGTAAATGTCACACCAGAAGTACAACAACGTTTAATAGTAGTACTAGATCATTATCAAACGAACAGTAAACTTAGTTTCAAAAGAAAGTTTTTTATATTACAAACGAAGAAAACACACTGTAGTAATTAATTTTTTGAGATAATTATTATTTAAAAGTGTGTCATGAATATTCTGTTCAAATTTATCTTAGAGGGCTTTCAGATCAGTTTAATTTTAAAATATGCATTATTCTGACTTAGTCTTAAACAAAGTCGTATAATAGTGTGAAACGTTTGATTCTGTCGAGATAAGTATATTTTACCATGTAATGTCCAACAAATATTTTAAACTTTGAACCGACGTTGTCAAAGGGTTTAACGACTTTTTTTAATAATTAAATTCTGATTTTATTTTGAAGAAAAGCCGAAAGACAATACAGTATGCTATACTGTGAAGTGCATAGTGGTCTGTGAACTATTATTGTTTTTCAAAATGTAAAAATAGAATACTCACTTGCATTCCTATGATTGTTCTATTCCTGTGTTGTGTCGATATATCTAACGAAAGAATCACCCCAACTGTCTAACCGATTTTGAGCTTATATTTTCGGATTAATTCGCTCTTGGTGAGATTAGAAGCTAAGCTGCTCACGAACCTTCCGAAATGAGAAATCGATTTTTCAAGTTCCATTCTAAAACCGGTCTCGATTCAATGAAAAGTCAAGTTGTCTGCAACGCAATCGATTCGACCGCTGAAATCTACAACTAGAGGCTGTCTGCCTTAAATAAAAATGCCATCAAAGTCGATCGTACTGCTGACGAAATACGAATTTCTTAAACAAATACTTTTGGCCACGTATATTCTCTTGAACTGAACTACCGCTTTCAGATCACTCATTTTACAGATTGTTTTCAACCTCCTTTCCACATTGCAAAGATGATCAACAGCAACAGCTTTGTGAAGTTCTTGGGCAATGATCGTAAGGGGTTCGGTTATCAACCAAAACAGATTTCAGCGCTCGAATCGATCGCGTTGCGGACAACTCGATTATTCATCAAAACGAGATCGATCTTTGAATGGAACTTGAAAAATAGATTTCTCATTTCAGAAGGTTCGTGAGCAGCTATCCCGGTAGGATTCTTCTAATCTCGTCAAGGGCGAATTCTTCTGAGACTGAGTTTCGAATAACAGATTTTTAACCAGGCAGCCTCATTTAGTCAATTTGTAGAGTACATCAATTTACTTATAGGGTATCCGTAAAGTCCTTAGAGTTAGAAAATGTTCAATGTTTTCGTCATTCTTTACCCAAATGAGCTGATTGTTTTTCTGAGTATAGTAAGCGGATAGAAGTGTCTATTCATCACAAAATAGACCATTTATGAACATAAAACAAACAATTTTTATAAACGCTATAAGTAAACTTTACAACGAGGATTTTTCTCATAGTTATATGCTGATGCTAT